ACACACACACACACATACACACACACACACACACACACACACACACACACACACACACACACACTGCGTTCTAAGTGCTTAAAAATTAAGCAAGTGGCCAGGCAATGGTAGCACACCCCTTTAATACCAACACTTGAGAGGCAGAGGCAGGCGGACCAACCTGGTCCCAGGACCGTCAAGGCCACACAGAGAAACCCTGTCTCAGAAAAAAAAAAAGAAAGAAAAAAGAAAGGAAGGAAGGAAAAGAAGCAAGTTATTCTAAATAACTTTTGCGTTAAAGAGGAAATTATTACAGCAATTAGAAAATATTTTAAACTGAATGGTAATGAAACAGAACATATCAAAACTTATGGGTGGGCGGAGGACAGAGCTCAGTGATACACAGCACCTGCCCATTGTGCAAGTCTGAGGTAACGTCCCAGACTGGACGACAACAGCAAACACTATGGGATGCAGCTAAGGAGAGCATAGAGAAAAGCATGCAGCTCTAAAAGCACGCATTAGAAATTAGGCTCAAGACTAGAGCATGGTGGCACACACCTACAGTCCCAGCACTGGGGAGGCTGAGCGAGAGGCTCACAAGTCGAGGCCAGCCTCTGCTACATAGCAAGACCGCATCAGAAAAAGGGAGAGTGGGTGGAATAAAGGTTCAAACAGCTGAAACCGGGACTGGAGAGCTGGCTCTGTTGGCTAAATGCTTGCTATGTGAACAAGAGGGTCTAAGTTTGGACCCCTAGCGTCCGAGGAAAAGCAAGGCATGGTAGCGCACATGTGTAACCCCAGTGTTCAGGGAAACGGGGGACAGAGATGGGTGGAAACCTGGAGCCTGCTGGCCAGCCAGTCTGCCTGCGGGTGAGGTCCTGGTTCAGTGAGAGGCCGTCTCAAAAAACAAGGCGGAAAGTGACTGAATACATTGAAATCTATTTCACAAGTGAAAACTGTTATTAAAAACCTTGCCATGAGGAAAATTCCTGGTCCAAATTCACCACTGAATTCTTCTAAACCCTTAAGGAAGAAATTACCCTAACCTAACAGCCCACAGTCTCCCCAGGAATGAGTAATGGCCACCACTGCCTTGCCAGAGTTCCCTACATGAATCTGAGCCTAAGGCCCTGGGTATGGGAGGCAATCAGGGCTCCGGGAATCCGGCCCGCATGCTTACCATCTTCATCTGTCTGGAAGGTGACCTCCTTGCCCTCCTTGCGCCCCTCGGGGTTTGTGAGGATCAAACGCACGTGGACATTCCTGAAGGGCAGCAGGTTCTTGATGGTGTAGCGGCTGGCACCCCGCTCCATCTTCACGCACTCCCGGACGGTCTGATTGTGGCTGCCCCCCAGGGTGTAGTGATAGCAGAGGGACACAGCATAGGTGTGACAACGTGTCACATTGTAGCCCAGGGGCTCCCACTGCAGGGTCAGCTGGCGAGCCTGGATCTCTGCAAACGCCAGGCCTTTGGGGGCTCTCATGGGCTCTGGAGACATAGGAAGCCGGGAGAAGTGTGAGGAAATGGGAAGAGAAAAAGAAGGGGAGGAAGAGAGAATCGATCAACTGCTAGAAACCACTCCTCCTCGGCCTTTCTGAACTCCGAGTGCCCTCAGAACTGAACCAGTTGTAACACGGTATGCTCTGGAGTAAGACACATCTGAATCCTGACTCTGCTACCTGCAGCCGGCAATTGTTGCCTGAGTGATTCCACCCCTCTCTCAGCCTTAGCTTCCCGAACTGCAAAAGGAAATTTGGATCCCCAGCACCCACAGAGAAGCGAGGCTTCCTCGGAGGATTGCTAGGCTACACTGTGACTGTTACGGTAATACACACGAAACAGGCATGACAAAGGCTAACACACCATACCCCTTCAGAAGCATTAACTACAGGGCCGGTGAGATGGTTCAGTGGGTAAAGACACTTGGCTGAGCCTAATGACCTGAGTTCAATTTCTGAGACCCACGGGGTAGAAGAAAAGAATTACCTCCCTGGGGTTACCCTTTCACCTCCACATTCACAGTGTGGCCAATGCACATACACACACACACACACACACACACACACACACACACACACCAAACAAATAAGTAAATGTAAAACAAAAACCATTAGCTCTTGCCAGTATAGTGGCCCATGCCTATAATCCCAGCACTCAGGGCAGCCTGGGCTACATAGTGAGACCCTGTCTCAAAATAGAAAGGTGTGCTATATAATTAGCTCGATCGATATACTCCCTAGTTCTGAACAATACTGGGCCACTCAGAATCAACCTGTTGCTATATTTTCTTTGTTTACTAATTCTAAACTTATTGCAAAACCATTTATATCAACATATAAATCACATGATGTATGCAAATCAGGATGATGGGCGCTGTGACAGCAAATAGTACAATATGACAGAGCATGTTTGAAAAGCAGAGACAGAGCTCCATGCCGTTACATCCGAGGTAGGACTCTACAGGTAAGGTGCAGATTCACTGGTGAGTTCTCTGACAGCCAAAGCCACAGGAAATGGCCATCTGTTGTCCAGTGACAACACTGGCAGTTAATATTTAGGGGATTCTGGAAGTGTCCAACATCTTTCTGGAGGCTTTAGAATGTTTTATCTCATTTAATCTTGGTTGAAACCCAACAAGTCAGAGGCTGTCGTTGACCTTGCCGTACAAATGAGAAAGCGGGGAACCAAAGGTTAGGTGAGGAGTCCAAAGTCACATGAAGCGAGAATCTAAACCCAGTCGGGCTGGCACCAGAACCATGCTCTCACCTGCCACTGCCCTGGTCCCCCGGAGGAATTCACTTTCACAAGCACTGGAGAGACCCTGCTGCTCCAACAGGAGGAAGCGGCGGGCTGTGCGGCAGTCTCTTAATGCCTCCACTGACCCAAAGGATGGCCCCATTTTGTAACTAGAGAAACTGGGGCCTGGAGAGATGGCTGGTAGGTAAAAATGCTTGCTTTGCAAGGGTGAGGAACCTGAGTTCAATCCCCGAGTCCACATAAAAATGGATGTGGCGATGGGAGCTTGTAATCCCAGCACCTAGGAGGCAGAAGTGGACAGATCCCAGGACCCAATGGCCAGGCAGCCAAGCTTGTCTAGTGAGTTTTAGGCCAGGGCAAGGTCCTGTCTCAGAAATGCAAGGTGGGCCTAATGACCTGAGTATGGTCCCTGGGACGCAGACCTCCATACATGTACTATAGTACATGTACACACACACACACACACACACACACACACACACACACACACACACACACACAACTTCCAGAGAGAGGATTTAGCCCACATCTCTGTGTCTGCCTTGACCAGTCTGTGATCTTAATCAAGCCTCCAAGAGGGAGCCAAGATACTCCCAAGGATCCTTTATCCCTCACACCCTGATTCTGGGACATCGAATCCACGCCTTGGAAGTTCTGGGAGTGCCTTCCTGCAAAGTGTCCCATCCCTTTTGTTAGGAGCTGAGAAAACACTGCTATTTAGCCCCTTGATGAGATTAAGGAGGACTCTGTGGTCATTGTCCATGACAAATTTACTCAGCAGCCCCCTTATAAAAATAAAAAAAATACAGCCGGGCGGTGGTGGCCCACGCCTTTAATCCCAGCACTCGGTAGGCAGAGGCAGGCGGATCTCTGTGAGTTCGAGGACAGCCTGGGCTACCAAGTGAGTTCCAGGAAAGGTGCAAAGCTACACAGAGAAACCCTGTCTCGAAAAACAAAAAAATAAATAAATACATACATACATACATAAATACATCTGGAAATATCAGTTCACATTCTCCCAACACAGGAGTGAAGGCGTGACGATTGTCAGCCTAGGGCGGATCGCAGCAACTTCCTGTTCCCACCCAGCTTTCATTTCTTTCCTAGGCCGGGCAAGAGGCAAGTCTTCAGTCCTGAATGGGGCCCTCAGAGAGAGAGTTCAGAGTCAGCACCTACTAACAAGGTCTATCTCTTGCCCTCTCCCTTCTCCCCAAGTCCCACCTCCCATGGACGTGACAGACTGTGCTGCCGCCACTCACTGTCACCCAAGAAGGACGCCTGCTGCTGGGCCAGTCGCCACACATGGAGCTTCTCACCATGCTAGGCCACAGAGAAGCCCCCAGGGGTTCAGGCGGGCTTGGTTTGACCCATCATTCTTGTGTGCGTGGGACATAACACTGTGTCTGCTCACATGCCATCTTGCTCAGAAGCCTGATTTAATTCCCGTTCCCCAGCTCTGCCTGTTCTGTGTGCACTGAGCCAGGGTGTCTACAGGAGACAGGACATCGCTTTCTTTTCCCTTGTGAGAGAGGTTCTCAGACCAGCTCTGCCCACACACCACCCTGGGCCTGGAATACCAGCCCACCAACCCTTCCCATTCTTCAGGCACTTGCTTTCTTGCCCTCCCGAGAGATTTGGACAAGGACAGGGCAAGTTCAAGGTAAATTGGCTAGATGGAAACTTCAGACTTGAGTCAATAAGACTGCAGAGGTCCCACGGCCAGCAGCTGCATAAGCCTGGCTCCTGGTGAGCAGTCTTCCCATGGAGGACTCCAGGCTCAGGATTTCCAGGCTCTCCTAGCTTTCAAAAGAGCCAGAAATTCAGAATTTTTATATGAACTCTCCAGATTCCTAAGCACCAGCAACCCAGTCAGGCTACTCAAAAGCACCTCTCAGGATTCAAGACAGCAGCCCCGGCCATGGAGAGTAAACACCAGCTTGGGTGGGCATCTCCCTCTCTAGCAGCTGGGTGACCCAGGTCCACCTCCACAGGCTGAGGGGCCATGAAAGGCTCAGTTCCCTCTTCTCTTCTGTCCTGGGCAGATCCAGGGGCTCAAGCACCATGTTACTAAGACCAACACACACTGGTTGAAGGGTGTGAATCCACAAGTCTCTCTGCCTCCAAGAGCCACCTGCCACCAAGGTGCTCCCTTCAGCTGCCAAAGCACACTGGCAAGACAGAGCTCAGGGACCATGAAAGCCTAGCCAGGTGAATCCCACAGAGACCAGAGCATAGGGGACACAGGAAAGCAGGAGAGCACATGTAACTTCTATTAAATTAACCCAGAATGGGCTGATTTTAATAGTGCCAACAAGCACTATAATGCCTACTGCTTCTAGCTCATGGAAGGAGCTTTAGACAAAGGGCATCTAAGTTCATACCCTGCACCCACTCCTCGGTAGCTCTGCCACTCCAAGAAATTTCCTTAACCCTTCTGAATTACTGATGTCAATGGAGGAAATGATGCCTACTAAAACTGTGACTTATCCCAGCCCTGGATGGGTAGGGGTCAGAGGATCTGAAGTTCTAGGTCATCTTCAACTACCAAGCTAGTTCAAGGCCAGCCTGAGGTACATGAGACTCTGTCCTATAAACAAATAAACAACAACAAAACCACCTCCTTTAAAGATCAAACATAAGCCAGGCACACACGCCTGTGATCAGGAGGTAGAAGCTAGAGGATCAAGACTTTAAGGTTATCCTTGGCTACATAGTGAGCTGGGGGTGAGCTAGGGCTATATGAGATCAAAACAAACAAGAAGAAAGGAAACATAACATCACATGGGACGTGGTACACCAGAGTGCCCAGCCAATAGGAATCAATAAAGAAACGTGTGCACCAAAGTGAGACTTTCTGCAGCGATTAGTGCGAGCATGCTGCCGCAAAGCAATAACACATCAGAGCCCTCCCTCTGATCACCCCTGACAGTTTCACTCTAAAGAACGCAACTCAAGAGAATAAAAAGAACTGCAAGCATTTAATTTTTCGATGTAGCATTATAATAAGAAGGATGCAGAAACAAACAGCCCAGAAATCCGGGGTAGATGTCTGCAGGCAATAACATAATTATAAAACAGTGTCGCCCATGGACCGGCACCGAGCAAACGAAGCAGGATCCTGAGCATCAGCCCCATCCCAATGACAAGCCTGTGAAAATGTGCGCTGAAGACATATGGGCAGACACTGGAACAAGACAGAAAAATTGAGGCAGCTGCTGAGCTGGGATGGTGTGATTCAGAGGCTTTTGGGTTGTTTTTTTTTTTTTTTTTTTTTTTTAAGCCTTTTACTGGTGCAATATTATTGTTTTTACAGTAAATAATAGAGTGGAGGGAATTGTGGGCCTGCAGAGGCTGACAACACAGCTGGCCAAGAGCTAAACAACCCCAGGCCAGCCAGGCTCTGGGGCTGTGGTATCAACAAAGAGGAGCCTGTGATTAGGAGGGGCGGGAGGAGGTCTTTGTGTGGAGTCTACCCACCTGGCCCCTGCCCCATCCCCACCCTGGCTAGCCTAAGGAAAACTGTTTATCTGTATCTGACACTAGCGGGCACTGGGCCTGAGGCTGCGACCATGACAGCTGCTGCTGTCATCATCAGTCACTGGAAATCAAGACGTGTCAGTTGCCGTGGTCAATGCTGATGCGCAACCTGACAGGTTCTAGGATCACCTGGGACGTGAGTCTCTGGGCGTGCCTGTGAGGGATTGTCCTGATGAGGTTCACTGAGGTGGGAA